TCCTTGTCCCACCTGGGGGCATGGACGTCCCAGCTGGGACTGAGAACTGTATGCAGCAGCCCACTGTTTCTAGGAACAGAGCCATCAGGGAAGATGCATACTAAGTGTGTTGAGTCACAAGATCAAGCCCCGATGGAGGATGAAATACCATCCTTTGAAAGGAATCACCCCTTCTCATTCAGTCTGACTAGAAGCAGAAGACCGCACAATGGGCACTTGTCACTCTCCCTGCATTACTAAGAGTGTCAAAGATGATAGCTTCAGGGCCCGGGAAAAGACCCCTACACACCTGCCCTCTGCAAGAAGCCAAAGATTTCTCCTCATAGAAGGCCAGTCTGTAGCTAAAAGAAACGTCCCAGCTAAGCTTTCCCACATCCGCTTTCCCCTACCCTCCTCCCCCCCCCCCCCCCCCGGGTGCCCAGCCTAGCTCTCCCATTCTCTCCCTCCCATTGTTTCCCAAAGGTCCCTCCCTTCAGAAAAGCCGTCTGGCTGGGAGCTTAAAATATTGCTGGACAGTAAAACCTACCCATCAGGACCGATCCAGTCATATCTGCTCAGTCGTGCAGCATATTAGGGGCGGGGTAGAGAAGGGGGAGGTGGGCTTTTAGGTGGCAAAGGAAAGACACCAAAGTTGCCATTTTCCTGCCGAGCACCAAGAGAAAAAGACGGCACCTGTATCTCCGTGGGACCCAACTCATACTGGCAAGTTTTCCTTGGGCAACTACACTGTAATCTTCCCTTCCTGGCTTCTTTTCCAGCATGATCAGGGCCATACACAGCTTTCTCCAAGACGAAGAAAGATGCCACCAAGTTCTATTACTGGGCTGAGGTGGCCGCACTTCCAGCTCAACCTCGAAAACCCTCTGAGAGCTCGTCTGAGGGTGTGTGGAGGTTTGGAAGGGAGAGAGTGCTGGGATATGGTGGGTGTGAATCGAGATGATGCTTGAGTTCCAACTCTTGACTTCTTAAGTTCTTTTCATTTTCAGAGAGAATGAACCTGCCTCCAGGAATCCAGAGGAATATAAATATAAGCATTCCAGTTACCATTTTTTTTCGCTCCCAACTGTGAGAAGGGAGGGAACGTCCCAATCGTTGGGTGCTGTGAGTAGAGGGGAAGCCACCTGCTCAGGGTTCTCAGTGCTAAAGCCGTTCATGGGGGACAGAAACGAAATCTGGCTAAGGGTCCTAAAACTCTTCCAGGGGCGGGTTCTGTTGTCTGTTGGTGAGAGTCGCTGCCTAGTGGCCCTACACACAAAGATGGAGGAACACTTACTCCCCACTCACAGCCAGAGTGGTGTGTGTCCCCTGGAGCTTTGAAAACCTTGTAAGCATGGACGTTTATGTGTTTCTGTGCCTTCAAACCCACAAAAAGGCTACACGGCCCTGGAAAATCCCTGGGGGCTCAGAGTGGGGAAGAGTAGGCCTCACATCTGAAGTCTGTCCTCCCTAGATGGACTACTTCAGGAGAGTCAATACACTTTTCAGCTTGCCCCTCCGTGATCGTAGTGTCAATAATTTATTCTCTGAGTCTCAAAATGTAGATTTGTCCATTTTAGCTCAAGGCAAAATGTTGACAGCACATGACAAAATGTAACTGTAATGAAGGGAACAAAGAGGTGAATGTCTCACCACGTTAAAGGTGTCCAATTTAAAGAGTTGACTTTTATTCTGAAACTGTGTCCTCTTTAGGTTTTGGGGTCTTAAAGCCCACCTTTAATCAAGTGAGGATAGAATCAGACTATAGACACTGTTTAGTGATCTAAAACATTTCTTATTTTTAAAATAAGGACTTGGCAGCTGTGTGCTCTTTTATTGTGCTTGTTGTGTTTAGTAATCTGAAATCTCAATATGAGAGCCACTGCTTAGCTCATAACTTGTCGTGGGGACTGATGGGACACATAGTGTGTATCACTGTTAGGCAGAGGTGAGCTCTCTGACATAAACTGTGGTTTCAGTGATCACCTCCACCCACAGTTCTTGAGTGGAAAGTCGCCAGGAATAAACAGAGGTCCTGGGGTTGAAGCTTGAAAAAGAGCATCCGTTTAATTTTCATCTGTACTAGATTGGCACACACTCCATTTTCACAACAAAATACAACAGAGAGGATGGCAAAAGTGAGTGGCTGTGGCTCCCACTTTCTCCAGGCCCCAGCATGCTGCTGTGGCTTTACTGCTTTGAGTGTTCACTGTACATGCAGGTTAAGACCAGGGCTGGGGGCGTAACTCAGTCTTACAGCACCTGCCTGGCATGCTTAGTCCAATCTTTATTCATGGAGGAAAAAGAGAGACAGCAATTCAAACACATAACAATTTAAAGGGGGGTGGGTGGCTAGAGAGATGACTCCGTGGTTATTTTCACTTGCTGCCCTTCCAAAGGACCTGCCATTTGGGAGATCACAGTCATGTGTAGTTCCAGTCCCAGGAGGTCTGATGACCTCTTCTGACTTCGCAGGCACCAGGAACACAGTGAGATATAGACATACATGCAGAAAAAACATCGTACACATTAAATAAAAAATAATTTTTTTAAATAATTTATTTAAATTTAAGAGGAGAAAGGCAGTAAGGGAGAGTTCAGTGGGTAAAAGGTAAAGGCTCCTGCCACCAAGCCTGACGACTTAAATGTGATCCCAGAAACCCACATGGTAGAAAAGAACTGACTCCCCCAAACGTTGTTTCTGTCCTACACACACAGACACACACAGACATACAAACACACACACACACACACACACACAAAGACACACACAATCTAAAACATGTTGCAATACCCCAAACACTTTCCCCAGCATCTCTAAACCCTCTCTCCTTAACAGCAGAAGGGACCTGCTTCACTGCCATGCTAGTAGGGAGATTTTGTCCTAAGTTACAGTTGCCTGAAACTTGGCACAAAACTCTTGAGTGGACATAAGGGGAAAAAAATTAAAAATTCAGAACAATCCTAATGTAGCAGGATGGGTTACAAAGGACACGCTTTGCTCTGACTTTTAGAAGTTATTAATATCATTGTAGGAAGGTCTTGGGCCATGGCCGTGTATCACGACACAGTGTGTTGTGTTAAGGGTCACTGTCTACCCATTTATATCCCAATGTTTCATAAAACAAGCACCATCTGCCCCAGCTGATGGGAAGGCTGATTGGTTTTGGGTTCAAGATAGCTAGTTTGGATCATTTTACTTTGTTCTTTTTTTCCCCTGGTGTTTGCATTTCCTTGAAAATCCTCTTGTCTATTCTAAATTTTATAACCTTGATTATTATTTATAATGAGTTCTTGCTCTCATTACTGCTATGTAGAAGAAGACTGAAGGTTCCCTGAATTGGGGTGAGAATTGTCTTTATAGGAGCTGAGACTTTCAGATCTTAAATCCATCACCCTCAGTCCCATCCTCTGGCATCTAGAGAAGCCCCTCACTCTGAAGTGCTTTGCTCTGTGCTGTGACGGGTCATGGAAGATAAAGCCGAAAGTGGTTCAAGAATGGTCTATTCTAGGAAGTAAGATTAAGTACACAGAAATAATAAGTCTTACAGGAGAAAACAGAACTATTTAACAAGAAACCAACCTCCCTGGATCTGTCTCGTGTGTGGGCTTGATGTTTAGATGGATCACCCAACTGCGATGTTTCTCGTTTGTTTCTGGATGATGGCCAGAAGAAACCCAGAGGAGGCTCCTCCAATAGGAGCTATTGTCTTGTTCTTAGGGCAGGCATGAGGGAGTCCACAGCTTCAGAGATGTTCAGCGTGGAGGGACAACTGGCCTGAAGTGATGGGGGAGGCTTTATTTGTTTTTACCGGAGTCTTTAATGAGTGGCACCATTTGTACTCACCCTCCTAGTCAATTCGGTCCTCTCCCCGCCAGCCCCAGCTATGCTAGAGACATTATATATCATTGTGTTTAATGGTATTTTCCCCTACTGATCAAACTTTTATATTTAAACAACCACCTGTAACTAACCCTGCAGCCTATTCGTTCTGTGAAACACTGAACAGTCCTCGTGGACTTGGGTAACACAACTCCCTCCGAGAGCACCCTCCCTGCACTTGGGATTTAAAGGGGTAATAATAAAAATATACTGCCCTCAATTTGTAAAACTATTAAGAGGGGTTTCCAGCTCTCAACCTCAAGTAAAGAAAGCATAAATTAAGATTATAGATGTCAGCGAAATGTGTAGCCCATGTCGCAGGTCTTATTTCTTAACGGTTTGAGAATCAAACCTTTGGGATCAGGTACGGAACTGCCAGTGTTTCACTGTCTGGCCTAAGACCATCTGCTTAGCCTCTAAGGCCCCTGTTGTCTCACATGTTGAAAGAAGACTGGTTTTTTAAAAACTCATATAAAGTCCTACGTGCTGGGCTGTGTGCAGGCATTGGCTACGCAGCAGAAAATACAACAGGCACAGCCTTACCACCCGAGAGCTTAGAATTGATGCAGTATCGAAGGTCTGTCCATTAAAATTGCTCAATAAATGTTCATTCTCTCCCATTTCATTTTATATATGTGATCATGTATAGTACATGGAATATTACATATGGTCTGTTTTGGAATATGTAACTTACAATTTCATTCTCATAACAATGTTGTCAAGAGCCCAGGAACCCATAGTATAGGTCTGTTTTCAGTATTACGATTCATGAATCTTCCATCACTGTGTGGTCTTGATTTAAAATTGTGTACCCCATAGCTTTCTATTTCTGGTCCACAGTAAATCACAATAAATTCAAGGAGTAATACAGATACTTATTCAAGGACCCTTTCAAGCAATTTGTAAGGTGAATGAGAACAGGTATTATTAGTATTTTATAGATTAGTGTTAAACCCCCTTCACGGTCCCTTTGGTCCCTTAGCACTAGTCCACACAAACAAGGCACTCCATGGAGACTGTTCACCCCATGACTGGTCCATCAGCTTAGAAAGATGAGCACTCCAAGAGCTGGGGAAGAAGTCATCTCGGAGTTGCACTGCGACCACTTAGGTTTTGTCTTCTGCTTCCCAGGTGGTGAGCGATGGGTGACTGGAGCTTCCTGGGGAACATCTTGGAGGAGGTGAACGAGCACTCCACCGTCATTGGCAGAGTTTGGCTCACGGTCCTTTTCATCTTCCGCATCCTCATCCTGGGCACGGCAGCCGAGTTTGTGTGGGGCGATGAGCAGTCTGATTTCGTGTGCAACACCCAGCAGCCAGGTTGCGAGAACGTCTGCTACGATGAGGCTTTTCCCATCTCTCACATCCGCCTCTGGGTCCTGCAGATCATCTTCGTCTCCACCCCATCGCTGATGTACGTGGGACACGCGGTACATCACGTCCGCATGGAGGAGAAGCGGAAGGACCGCGAAGCCGAGGAGCTGTGTCAGCAGTCCCACAGCAACGGGGGTGAAAGGGTACCAATCGCTCCGGACCAGGCCAGCATCAGGAAGAGCAGCAGCAGTAGCAAGTGCACCAAGAAGTTCCGGCTGGAGGGCACACTGCTAAGGACCTATGTCTGCCACATCATCTTCAAGACCCTCTTTGAGGTGGGCTTCATCGTTGGCCACTACTTCCTGTATGGTTTCCGCATCCTGCCCCTCTATCGCTGCAGCCGGTGGCCCTGCCCCAATGTGGTGGACTGCTTTGTGTCCCGGCCTACTGAGAAAACCATCTTCATCCTGTTCATGCTGTCCGTTGCTTTTGTGTCCCTCTTCCTCAACGTCATGGAGATGAGCCACCTGGGCATGAAGGGAATCCGGTCTGCCTTCAAGAGGCCTGTGGAGCAGCCACTGGGGGAGATCCCCGAGAAGTCCCTCCACTCCATCGCAGTGTCCTCCATCCAGAAAGCCAAGGGCTACCAGCTTCTAGAAGAAGAGAAGATCGTGTCCCACTATTTCCCTCTGACTGAGGTTGGAATGGTGGAGACCAGCCCACTTTCAGCTAAGCCTTTCGGTCAGTTTGAGGAGAAGATTGGCGCGGGACCCCTGGCAGATATGTCACGGGGTTACCAAGAAACCCTGCCTTCTTATGCTCAGGTGGGGGCCCCAGAAGTCGAGGGGGAAGAGCAGCCTGTAGAGGAGGCCGTGGAACCCGAAGTGGGAGAGAAGAAGCAGGAAGCAGAGAAGGTGACCCCAGAAGGGCCAGATGGGGAGAAAGCAGAGACCCCTGGAGTAGGAAAGGACGGGGAGAAAGAAGACCTGCAAGTTGAAAAAGTAACCAAGCAAGGTCTGACTGCTGAGAAGGCCCCTGGGCTCTGTCCGGAGCTGACGACCGATGACAACAGGCCCCTGAGCAGGCTGAGCAAAGCCAGCAGCAGGGCCAGGTCAGACGATCTCACCGTATGAAGTGGTGCTGCAGAAAGACATCTCACCTCCTGCTAATACAGACCAAGATAAAATCAGCTCATGCCAACACACTTGGAGCCTTCGGTGTCCTTGGGGCCACCCCCACCCCTAGTTGGTTAGATGCTGTCTTAGAACTGAGCAAGCTGTACAACTCGAAGACAGCCCTTCCCATTTGTACGGGCTACCAAGGTAAACCCCCTGTCCTAGTCAAGTTCCCGGTTCCACGGCCTGCCCTGTCTTCTATCCCAACCACTATGGGGGGCTTTACTCTCTTCCTCATTCCCCCATGGAAAATCATCACTTCAGATTTGTGGTTACCTCCTAACCTTTTACTAGGCTTGTCTCAAGCTCGCTGAATCAGTCAGACCCCGAACCCAGCATTTCCCTAGCAGAAGCCCCTGATCTTACATGAGCAATCTCAAACTGAAAAGCCTGCAGGATCCAGCAGATGATTTAATAGCTAACGTGGCCCTGCTCTAATAGGATATGATAGAATATGACAGAGAGAGGTAGGGCTGTGAGGGCTGAGGCAGTAGCTGGCTGCTTCCAGGAAATAGTTTCCTTGATACCTGGACATCTTTAAAAAAAAAAAATGAGAGAGAGAGAGAGAGAGAGAGAGAGAGAAATCAGAGAAATTTTAGCACGTTAATTTTAAATACAATACATGGAGCAAATGCAATGTGTCCAGATTTAACCTATGGGCTATCAATTTGCAACAGCAGTTTACATTAATAAGCCCACATTTGCTAAGGAATTTGCCTCACTTTTTTTGTGGTCTTGGCCCCTTTTTGTGGTTTCCCAACTTCATTTTATCAGTTTGAAATGTTTTAAGTCGTCAGTCCAGGAGATGCCCAGAGTTCTTGCTGACCATTCTTTTGGGTCACTGTGCCCCCGGGTTGAAAGCAGTGGGGCCTTTGATTGGCAGGAATTATGCCCTGGGCACAGTAAGAGAGCACACAGGCTATCAAACCTCTCCCCGGGAAATGAAAAGGCTTTAGGCTTTCAAGCCCAATTGCAGTTTTCTTCCCTGGAGCAACAAAAATCCTTTAAAAAAAAATTCTCCTCTTCTAGCATCAGTATTCAGCCTAAAATCTGCATTTCCTTTCCCAGGGCTGGGAGCAGAAAGAGTTCCAAGCTAGAGGAGTCTGCCCACAGGCCTGGCCTGAGGGAGGCCGCTCTCAAGCTTTGTCTATCAGCGGGGAACTGGCAGGGGAGGAAAGCGGCTTACTTGAGTACCACCAACTGGGTGTGCAGTCAGTAGCCAGTCCACACTGTATCCCCCGGGGCGCAGAGACTAAAGGGGAGCCTCATAGGTCTCAGCCAACCCACCTCAAACACTGAGTCCAATCAGGGGAGAATATAAAGTACATATGCATATTTCACACAGGGAACAATTTTACTCGATTGATTTCCAGAACAGATGATAGATAGATGATAGATAGATAGATAGATAGATAGATAGATAGATATGACAGACAGATAGATGATAGATAGATAGATAGATAGATATGGATAGATAGACAGATAATACAGATAAAATCAAGTAATGTGACCTTAGTATCTACCTATCTCATTCTTTTAAAGAGAAGGCAGGAATTCATGTTACTGGGCTTCACATCCCACCCAGGACAACCACGAATGCAGCCCAACACAGCATCACAAACGTGCTGTCCTAGTGTGGGCTACTACTGCTGTGACAAAACACCATGGCCACAAGCATGTTGGGGAGGAAAGGGCTTCTTTGGCTTGTATTTCCACTTTGTCTTCCTTCATTGAAAGAAGTCAGGACAGGAACTCAAACAGGGCAGAAACCTCCAGGAAGTGATACCAAAGCCATAAAGGGGCTTGCTTCTCGTGGTTTACTCAGCCTGCTTTATTATAGAACCCAGGACCACCCGCCCAAGGAAGGCAGCACCTACAATATGGGCGGTGCCCTCCCTCGTCAATCGCTAATTAAGAAAATGCCCTATAGGCTTGCCTGCAGGCCAATCTTGTGGAGACATTTTCTTAATGAAGGTCCCCACCTCTCAAATGGCTCTAGCTTGTGTCGAGTTGACTCGAAGCTGTGCACCACACGTACGTAGAACAGTGTAAGATTCTTGCAACTTCTTTGTGCTTCAAATCCATGATTCCCCACTGTGAACTTTGTAGACAACAGAATCATAACGTCAAGAGGCCGAATATGCCAGAACACCATGCCTCGGGAACTGCGTGCCAGAGATGGGTAGGAAGTGGAGGAGCTAAGTTAGTAGGGCAGAGACTTGGACAGGACACCAAGCCCAGAAAAACTGCCCTTCAACCAGTCCTACTCCCTGGCAACACCATCTCAGAGTGGAAAGTCCTCTCTCGGCCCTCTGGATACCACCCTCATTTTAACATGTTTGTTCTGGATAAGCCTCCGAAAACTATCCCTCCCTAGGAAAGTTCATGCTCTAATTGCCTGGCACCACATTCTAAGCCAAAGCAGTTTAGAAATAAACTCATGAAAGGTTTGTTTTCTTTCTTTTTTTTGTATAATTATGCCTAAGAAATCTGCATTTAAAAGAGAAAAGCTAACTATATATCTATCTAGAAAACCAAAGTAACAAATTTTCAACAGAAGACTGTATCGAGCAAGGAACAGTTGAACGGAAGGCCCTGTTTACCTTCCCAACATGCAACTTTCCAGCTACTGCTGGAATCTTACCCCTGCCAGGTCATAACAGCCCAGCACAGACCTTGTCGTATGCAATGAGAACAGTAGCAAAAATCCCAAGCCCAAGAGCCCAGGGTGTTCTTGACTCTCATAGTTGACCTATCACTCCTACAGTTGTGCTTACGGTTTAAAAAGAACCTTCTTTCTGATCACTATCAGGGGTGGGGTGGGGGGCATCCCAACTAGGACCTGACACAAGAGGCATGTGGTTCAGTGGTAGAGTGCTTGCCTGGCGAGTGTAAGGCTCTGAGTTCAATCCTCAGTACCTCAATTAAGACCAAATTTTAAAAAAAAAAAGGAAATGAAAACTAAATCCTGTTTTAAGGCAACATTGCCAGAGCTGCTCAGAACCAGTTGCGGAGCTGTGAGGGAGGGTTGCTGGCCTCCTTGTCTTGGCTGGATGTCAGATGAAGTAGTGTCTCGCTTCAATGCCCACACCTGTTGGGGCCCCCATATAAGCCGCTGCTTCTCTTTTGGCCTTCCCGACAAAACGGAGTCTATGCTGGAAGAAACAGACACAGGCACCCAGAGGTCAGGATTTTTCTCCTGTTTCTGCCAGTCAGTGGCTGAGTCATCATTGCGCCTTATCCTCTCTGTACCTCAGCTTTCTGTCTACAAAGGAGCAATGGCACTTGCTGCCTGCCTCCCTCTGGGGTATCACAAGAACTGATGAGTTGGCTGCCACACCTGGAGCCTGCTTTCTGGAACCTCGCTTCCTGAGCTGTTCCTCCAACAGCAGTAAGACAGGGTGGGGAACAGGTGGGTGGCTTCCATTTGTGCCCTCAGCTCTGTGGTGAGAGTTAATCAAGGTAGACATTCTAGAAGCTAGTTTCCTCAGAGGAGACTCAACAACATTTTGATTCCATACAATGACCACAGACAGATGGGCAACTATTTAAATGACTGGAATAAGGTTCCTCTTCGGCCGCCACATAGGTCCTGTCAGGTCCCGTTTGGATGGTCTGTGCTCTTTGTGTTACATCCATACTCTCTGTTTGGGGGCACAGAATCATGACTGATTAGGATTACGATGCTTCGGGGTTCTATTAGGTCCAGCTTTACTTCCGACTCATTAAACCCCTAGAGCACATGGTCCTGCCAATGAAAGACGCCTTGACTAGAAGACAACGGAAGTGTGGCTCCTTCCAGGGGAAAATGGCTAATGACTGGATAGTGGTCCTAACACCCCCATTAGGGGAGGTCTGCACCAGAAAGGCTTAGAGCCGCTCAATGTTCAGTTAGAGCTGCAAGCTTGTCTGGGAAATCCCTAGTATACAGGGCTTTGTAAAAAGACCTATTTGGTTTCCATGACTTTGGCCCTTGATGTTCAGGTGATGCATCCAACACAGCATTGAACAAATATTCCTAAAGATCAATCTGGTTTGGAGACCCACAAAAATCACTGGCATTTTGTGAGATGTGGTGGCCACCTCTGTTTAGCTCTGGGGATGACAGGTTGTCATCCTTCTGCTCTCAATAACAGCTTTCTCTAAGGTAATAGGGAGTAGAAGCCTCCTCCTTCTCAAGGTCTAATTCTTCTCAAAAACTTACTAATGTAGAAATAAGAAGAAGAGAAAGAAGGCCTTGTCCAAACTGTAAGATCATATTTTAAAGTACAACCTGAAGCAATGACACTTGTCACTCCCGAAGAAGGCACAGCTCAGTAAACCAAGAGACCATTTTATAAAAAGTGGGACAATGAGTAAAATGAGGGGATGGTCCTGAAGTCCTAAGAATCACATTGCAGACAAACAACATCCTTAATCACACGAGAATCTGTTGCTGCAAGCAATGCCAAGGTGTTCATCTTACCAGAGCTCATGTACAGAGGAGGAAGGAGGTGTCAACCCCCAAGTCTGACTCACAGCAAAGGAAAGAGGAACAAACAGGAACTGCTTGGCTGAAGACACATAGAAGGTGTGGGACAAGACTAGTGAAGACAACTGTTCCTCTTCAGTTCCTGAGGGGCAGTGGGCACATGTGGACCCCAACAGCACCTCCCATCCCATCCTCCTCCTGTCTTACCCTGGCTCCAAACTAGCCCTTTGTGCATGTCATGTGCAGACAATTGCCCAGCCAAAGTTAGCGCAGTCTAGATAAAAAGTGTAAGGACAGGTAGGATGAAGAACTATTCTGAGCGTAAATATGTTTTGTAAGATGTAGTGTGTGCCTAGAAACTACGTTTAAGGTTTCCCTTTCTAGAAATTATTGTAGTGTAACTAAATGTGTCTTTGGGGAAGGGAGGGGATAAAGGAAAGGTAACTCTAGATCCAGCAGTTAAGTAAGGAGAGAGAAGCGATCTGGAAGACAGCTTGGTCTCCACTGCATTTGACACTGCCTGCCGTGGCCACCGTGTGGACGTGAGACAGACCGGAGTCTCCAGCCTCACTGCCTTCAGAAGATTTCC